TATTATTTTCTGTTAGAATAGCACATGCAGAAGTCATAAATAATCAACTTTTGCTTTATCTTAAGTATCAGTATTTTAAGTGTCGGCTGTTATATAAAAGCACCACACAGTTTTAACCCTAGATTTCCCTTAAGCTAGAAATTAGATAATAAGGCTGGAAGGAAACTTAAAACTTCACTCAGCTTAAGCTCTGCCCCAGGATAGAACAATCACACATAAACTACTCCTGACAGTTGTTTTTCCCCTGCCATTGGGTCAGGAAGTCAAGCAAGCAGGATGGAAGAGCAGCCTGGCGGAACAGAGAACTCTCGCAGAGTTCTCTTATTCCAATTTACAAGAAGGGCATGAGGGAGAACCCAAGGAACTACTGACCCGTTAGTCCAACCTCACTTCCTGGAAAAGTTATGAAGAAGATCGTAACTGGGTACTACTGAAAGGCCTTTAGAGAATAATGCAATCATCAGGCACAGTCAGCATTGGTTCACAAAGGGAAAAAGACAAAAAATAACGTTACCCTTTTGCTCGTAGCTATCACATACAATTTTGAAGTAGTAAATACCGCTTTATTTTTAATGAACCCAAATGCATTTGGGGAAGGGTGACAGAGGGGAACGACACTTTTCTCCTAGAACCTGCTTTTGAAAAGTGTTCAAAAATCCTCTTGCATGAGCAGTTTATACTAAAAAGTATTATCAGAAAACAGTACAAGTACCTCCTCAAAAGTACACTTCCAACTTCCCATCCAATAAATATTAGAAGACATAAACATAGAAGATACAAGAAATTAAAGCATTTGACAGTTCTAGAAACAAAAGGTTAAAGCGCTGAAATAATCCACTAGAAAATATAAACAATTAAAAGAAACTTTAAAAGAAAATGTGATCTGCTTAGAAGAGTTGGGCATCAATATCTTTGCTCTACTGCTGCAAGCAAACCTAAATGTGTTTCACCCAGTCGCTTTTCTGCTGAAAAACCTGAGACTGTGTGCCACCAGCACCACGTACGCCTCTAAGGCACCTGCAGCTGCATGAAGCGTGCAGGCAGGGGAAAGTCTTCCAGCTTCTTCGACTTCAAGCTCTTAAATAGCAATAAAGCCACATCTGGCTCCAACATATGAGCTTGAAACAAGGACAGACCAGCATCAACACTGGAGAGCTCAGCTATGTACTGCTCCAGTACATTCCCAAGAAGCACAGGTGTGATAACTCAAATTCTATAGCTCCACAAAGTATTTGTTTCCTGCTCCAAATTAGCAAGTCATGTTCTAAAGATAGTCAATACTAGTATTAAGATGGCACATGAGTGTGCCAAACAGCAAAAAAAGCTGTGAAAAAGAAAGAGCTGCAGGGCAGAGCTTAAGAGTTAAAATACTCTAGTTATACTAGAGTAACACAGAGAATAAGAAAACACAGAATCTGGTGAAAATGCAATTAAAGTGGAAGATACTTCAGCACAAATATTTTAAACTGTATGCATATTTACTAGATGTTACCTTTTCCCTTTTTTCAAAAAGTAAATTAATTTGATGAAGGAAAGCTAAAATTTATTTTAGTAACATCCAAACAAGTCACTCAGTTCTACAGCTACTATTAAACTACACCTCTCCCTGAATTACCTTCCTCATTTTGAACAGTATTTTCAGATAATGTGTTGTCGGTTTCCTGTGTCCTTTCCGAGACACCTGTTTCCTCAGTCCTTTCAGAGTGGTCTTTGCCCACGTTAGGACCTTTGGTCAAGTTCATCTTTATCTTCTCAATAGCTCTCTGAGACAGTTTATCTTTCACTTTCTGGAGAAGAGACATTTAATGTTAAACGCTACTTAATTTTACAAGTACCTCTTTTATCTGCTAAATTTACCCACTGATAGGATTAATTAAACTTACTGACATGAAGATGATTAGTCAAGTTGGAAGGAGAAACACTTCCTCCATCAACACCAGGCATTGAAACCCAAAATACATTTATTTGGGTTTTCGAAGGAAACCTGAACAACATTAAAGCAAATGAACCTTTCCAGCTGAGTCCTGGAGCGCTGCTACGCCTGGGTGATACATCCATAGCAGATCAGCATTCTTTTCAACATTTCTATATACCACTGTCTTCCTCTGTCATGCTCCCAAATTTTACTTGATTTTTTCCACACTAATAAAAGCATCAACATAAAAACTTGCACATCACTTGTAATCCCTTCCCACTTCATCTTAAATCAAGGACCTTTTTCACATTGTCTAATGACCTTATGGTTGTGTCTTAGCATCTATGCTAGCTGAAATACTACATCAGCTCAGATTTTTGTAAATCACTCATCAGAAAGTAGTTTTTCAAAGACTACTTAAAAGAGTAAGTCTAGTCATTGTCATAGTAAGCAAAAGGCACTTCATTTTTAAACATAACAGAATATTAGATTGCTAATGATTAAAAGAAAAGTAAAAAACATGTTATTTATTTACTACCTCTAGAATCTCATTGAGCAGAACCAGAAGATTCTCTGTGGAAGAACTACTGAGTTCCAGTGAATTTAAAGCTTTTGCATAAATACGAACATCTGGTGCAGTAGGGTCCATCAAGATTTCATTGCAAATTTTCATTGCTAAACTATCATGTACTGTTGAGTCCTGCGGAGGAAAAATTAGGTAACAGAAATTTCACTGGGAACTATTCAGAAAAGATGAACATGAGATCACTCTGATTTAAGCAGCTAATGACTAATTCTATAGAGTGAACAGTTTCCTAAAATGCAGTATTTTGAGTATATACACCAACTGATTTTTATAAATACTTTTCCTGATATAGACAATTAGCCATGGTGCAAGTTCTTACTAGCTCTTTTTAATTGTAAGAGGGAGGGGAAATTGGGGGAGGCGGGTGTCAAGCTAAAAAGATTTCATTACCTGAACAGTCACTCAAGTAACCCAGCTTCTGACACTAGGAATCTCAGAGGGACCCAGACAGCTAGCACTAAGTGAAGGGAGTCAATTCTTAATCTCTACACACAAATATTATTTTCCTCCAGTTTAAGACACTGTACCTGATAGTCCTGAGACTTTTTAGACTGATGTGTCAGTCCACTTGGTCTGGTCAGGTCCACTAACAGCTCAGAAACATTACCGGTATCTATTTCAGCCAAAGGGGAAGTTGCTGGAGCATTTAACAGTGTTTGCAGGGTTGGAAGATAGGCTTCTTCAAAGCATTCCTGGTTAGCCCTGTTTCAATTGAGTCAAACATTAATGAGACAAAATTAAACCTTAATTCACCCCCATGTTTTCAGTGATGAAAGTTCACAGATCCATTACAGTACATCAATTAAAGCCAAATGGGAGCAGCCAACCTTGGTAGAGAGAGCCAGCAAGATCAAGACAGCAAAACTTCTTCACAGAACCAGTTTCTTTCAAGTTTTAGCATATGGTATTTCACAGAAGTTTTAAGTAACACTTCCTGCCTCTGAACAGTTTGAAAGTTCATCCTTACTACTGACAACGCAAGAACAAGTCCTACGAGGAGCAGCTGAGGGAAGCCTGGAGAGAAGGAGCCCTTATCGCTCTCTACAACGACCTGAAAGGAAGTTGTAGCAAGGTGGGGGTCAGTCTCTTCTCCCAAGTAACAAGTGATAGAACAGCCTGAAGTTGCACCAGGGAAGGTTTAGATTGGATATTAGGAAAAACTTCTGAACTGAAAAGGTTGTCAAGGACTGGAACAGGCTGCCCAGGGAAGTGGCGGCGTCCCCATCCCTGAAGGTATTTAAAAGACATGTAGACGTGGTGCTTAGGGACACGGCCTAGTGGTGGACCCAGCATTACTGGGTTATTGATTGAACTCAGTGATCTGAAAGGTCTTTTCCAACCTAGCTGGCTCTAAGAAAACCTAATTGATATATGCAGATATATTCTCAAGGGACAGAAATACATTTCTCTAAGTGTTTTATTTAGATTAATCTGTCTTCTGCTCAGTCCTCCTTCTGGCTAGCGTTTTTTTCTTTGGGGATACTTCTCATTGTATAAGAAAGCAAGGAAGCCTGGCAAAAAAATGCAGTGGTTAACAAGATTTTTGGAACAAATATTTGTGTCGGTTTTTTCTCAGAAGAGTTAATAACTCCTGCCAAGCAAGCATAAAAATCATGTTCCCCTTGGTTCTGCTAAAAGTGTCTAAAAGCGTACTTCAACGAGACAGGTCAAAACAATTTCAAAGCTACGGTGTCAAAACATACAAGGTATTAGTTGGTGAAGTGAAGCCTTTTTTGTTTATGGTACTTGTTAACTTCCTATCTGAACTCAAATAACTACAGGAGAAAATTAAGAAAGTAAATAATTTCAAAAAAAGCACATTGTTTCCTGCTGGATTATTGAGCCAAATCAGCTGACCAAAAGACCTTTTAAGCACTAAAACTGGGACAAGTAAGAATGGAAGCAAGAACTCTCCCTTTCAGCAGCTTTAAGGCTTTAGATTGGCTCAAGCAAAACCAAAGCATCATTCAGATTATTTCCTGTAAATTAAAAAATAAAAAGTAAGAAGAAGTCTTAGTAGTATACAGGCACAAGGCAGAACTTTCTCCTCCTAGGCTGCCAGAGAGTTTATTACTCTTCAGAAAACATTCCACAAGTAAGAATTTTTCAGAGGTTACAGGACCATGTCCCTGTTATGTGCCTGCCTACTGACATGACAAAACATTTGCAGAAGTCAGCATCAATTTTCTTCCCTTCACAGAGTTCAAATATTTAATTTTGAAATGCCACTTGATTATAACTGTGACCAGATGGAGAGGTTAACAGCACAGCATCCAGAAAACAAATGGAATTTTAAAATCGGTGAGAGATCAGTACCAAAATTAGGTATGAATCTCAGCCAAATCTCATTCATTATGTGAGTTTCCTTTTCTGAATGGCAGTTTTGCAGACTGTTCTGAATTGCACATGGTAATTAATAATTCTCTTCTGAAAATACAGTACTGTAACCAAAGCCACTCTGTGATTCATCTTAAAATGAACTGTTTATGATCCAGTATGCAGATAATGTTTTGAGACAGAAAATTAATGAGGTTTCCTAATTAAACAGAAATTCCAAATCAATGACCCAGACTAAGATTTTTTTTCCCCCACAAGTTTTTCTGATTCTTGCTAAAAGCGTAACATCATGTTTTTCTTTTTGAGAAAAAGATCATCTATGGGGGGCCAAAGTTGCTTAATTTGCAAATGACTCTGAAATACACAGATATGTCCAGATGGGCAATCATTAGGACTCAAAATAAAAAAAAAAGATAAAAGAAGATTCAGGGGCAGAAGAAGAAAGATCATCCATGTTAAAAGCTTAAATTCATTATTCAATATCAGAGATACTGGAAGCATAAGAGAAACAGCTTTTCTGTTACTTTTCAAAAGAATTTAAGTTGCTGGAAGGCCTACACAGCCAGCCATCTGCAGTCCAGGAATTTCCTCCATTGATGATAATTTCTTGATGCAAATGATGAATGAGCCAACCAGGAGAGGAGCGCTGCTGGACCTTGTGCTCACCAACAAGGAAGGTCTGGTTGAAGCAAAGAAGGTTGAGGGCAATCTTGGCTGCAGCGACCATGAGATGGTGGAGGTCAGGATCTTGTACGGTAGGAACAGAATATCAAGCAGGATCACAACTCTGGACTTCAGCAGGGCCAACTTTGGCCTTTTCAAGCAATTGCTAGGGGATACCCCATGGGACAGGGAACTGGAAGGCAAAGGAGCCCAAGAAAGCTGGTCAGTATTCAAGGACCACTTCTTCCATGCTCAGGATCAGTGCATCCCAACAGGGAGGAAATCAAGAAAGAGATCCAGGAGACCTGCGTGGTTAATCAGGGAACAGCTGGGCAAACTCAAGTGGAAGACGACAGTGTATAAATCATGGAAGGAGGGGCTGGCCACTTGGGTGGAGTATAGGACTGCTGTCAGAGAATGTAGGGAGGTGAATAGAAAAGCTAAGGCCTCCTTGAACCTAAAACTTGTGAGGGAGGTCAAGGACAACAGAAAGGGCTTCTTCAAAGCCAATGCTGACAAAACTAACACTAGAGCCAATGTA